AAACCTAACCGAAATCACTTCGAACCAAATAATAACCGTTGACCGTTTGACTTTCTCCGAACCGAAAAAATAATTTGTACGGTTCTAGAGGGAAATTTGTCTTTTTTATTGAAAAATTATTATTCCAAGAACTACTAGTTGAACTAGAAGAGAAATCATGTCTTCTCATTTTTCACGGTTTTATATATTTTTTTTCGATATTTTGTCCAAATTTTTTTTCTTATAAATAGTGGAGGCTGCGTTTTTGTTGAAAAAAAATTGTACAAATTCCTTATATATATAGGTTTCATCATGAGCCAAAAAACATAAAAATTTTCTTCCATTTTGCTATTTCCGTTAACAACTAACGGGAATTTGACGGATATCTAACGACCGGGTACTAACGTTGCTAATAGAATGAAAGTTTGGGTATTGATTTCGCAAATATTTTAAAATGGGTACTGATTTCAAAATGACTTTTACTTTGGGTATCAAAACTGCAATTTACCCATATTTTTATTATCTTATGTGTTTGGAATATTATAAATGCATGCTAATAGAATTATTTGCTCGGGAAAATATCAAAAGTAGTCCCACAACTATCGGGTATTCCGCTTTTGGTCCCAATGGAATGGTCTTTCCCAAAACTGGTCCACTAACTTTTTAAAATCCATCAAAAGCAGGACAATTGTGGTCCCCGATGCCTTTTCCGGCCCGGAGCTGTCGACGTGGCTTCACAATATCACACCTGGCCGATCAATTAACAGCGTGGCCGATGACATGACTACTAAATCCTCCTTGGCAGACGACGAGGCACAAGGGGCGGGAAAACACAACATAATTGGGGAAAATGTCCCAAAATTGACAAAATCGGCCTTTTCATTTCTTCTTCTCGCGTGAACCCTAGAACCCTAGTTTTTGAATTCTTCTCACAGCTTTCGAACACGCCGAAAATCTGTTCTTGGCGAGACAAATCTCATACGCACGAGATGTCTTTTGTGATGGGAAGTGTTGATTGCTATTGTGGTCGTAGGGCTGTGATACGGACCTCGTGGACGAACGAGAACCCTGGTAGGCGCTTTCATGCTTGCTTGAAGAAAGAGGTAAGTTCTGT